AAAACGAAGACCCCATTGAGACATGCAAAGAAATAAATATGGCCATAAAAGGATAGAAACCACATAGTACAAAACTCCTTGGCTTAGAAAGGGATGCATCCTTAATGCGAGGGACAGGTTACCTCATATGAAAACAGCAGCAAACTCCCTGGCAGGGCTCTGCTCCCAGCTCTGCTCTCCAAAAACTCAGTCAGGAACACACAACCATTGGAATATGTCAGTCAAATATTTAAATAAGCAAACAAAAAAGAAAGAAAAAAAATAAGGCGGAGTCCCCAGATAGCTATGATCAACATGCACCAACCACCTTCTGGAAGCCCTGGCTCTATGCAGAACTATGAATGTACCCCTTAATGCAAGAATAGCCTTGTGGGTATTGTCTCCTTTCTCCTTGGGGAACCCTCGCAAAGAAGCACAACTGAGACAGAATGAGATGCTCCTAGGCACAGCTGAGTATTTACACCTTTTTCAGTACAAATGTCTCATTCATCCACCCAGAGCCAACAAAGGGGATTCACAGGAAGATAATCAAGTGCAAACAATCTTTTCAGGAAGTGGAGGGGGTGCCAATAGCCCCATCTGAACAGAATAGAGCAGTACCCGGGCACATTATACAAAGAAATCCCAGTATTACAACTAAGGAGTAATTCCTAAAGGGCTGGGGCTTTATTGGGAGCAGCCATTTAGCTAAATTACAGCCAGTATATCACCTTTAGAATTAAAATATTTACAGGGAATGGCTGGCTATGCAGAGTCAGGACACTACTGTGGAGGTAGCCATATCCCTAGTGCCCAGGCTCCTGTCCACACTGCTCTTCTGCAGGAACACTGCTTGCACCCAAGGTGCCAGTTTCACTGGACATGCAACCCAGTGGCAACAGGGCTCTCTGTGAACACCATGTGAAGGAGACCTAGGTTTATGGAGCCACTAGAAAGTTGTAAATAAGCAAAGTCAACTTTTTCCTTATGAAAATACTCTGTGGCAGGTCAGTTTATTGCAGAGGGCATGTCCTGAATTTACAGTCCATGCCTGGCTTATGGACAGGTCTAAATAGTTCAGTAACATCCATTTTCAGTTCTTCTTACTGGACCCTAGTTTTCTGAAGAGCTGTTTTCCCTTGAAGAAGAAGCCTCTCTTTTTTTTAGTTTGAACAGGCAAAACACTGGATTCAGGAGTCTCAAGCACTACTTGCTCTGGACTTGGGACACCAGTGACAGGGCAGGATGGCGGCACTTCAAAGGTGTTTGCTGACAGGTCACCAGGCCCATCTAAATTGAGCTAAACAGGAAAGAAAGACAACAAAAGAAATAGCTGAGTTCAGAGCTAAGCAGTGGCATCATCCCCACGCATACAGCTTACCCAGCAAGACCACCACCAAAGCCCATCCCAGAGACGGTCCCCATTTCCAGCATAGATCAGTTGTCCCATACAAATTCAGCTTTAAAATATTCCTCAGACCTTGCATGAGATCAGGTATCCCCAGCCCTCTAAGTGCTGGGCTATGAAATGGAAGTGTGCCCTCTAAAACATAAGAAGTGCTAAGTTTTGTCACTCCGCAAGTATAAAGCGAGTTCATTGATTCATAGATGCTAGGGTCGGAAAGAACCTCAACAGATCATTGAGTCTGACCCCATGCCTAGGCAGAAAGGGAGTGCTGGGGTCAGATGACCCCAGCCAGATGCCGACTGAGCCTTCTCTTAAAGACCCCCAAGATAGGGGAGAGCACTACCTCCCTTGGAAGCCCATTCCAAATTTTGGCCACCCTTACCGTGAAGAAGTTCTTCCTGATATCTGCCCTAAATCTGCTCTGTCAGTTTGTGGCCATTGTTCCTTGTTTCCCCAAGAGGCACCCTGGTGAACAGAGCATCTCCGATCCCTTGCTGCAACCCCCTAATGAATTTGTAGGCGGCCACAACATCACCTCTCAGCTTTCTCTTGTGGAGGCTGAAGAGGTCCAGGTCCCTCAGTCTCTCCTCACAGGGCTTGTCCTGTAAGCCCCTAACCATATTAGTGGCCCTCCTCTGGACCCTCTCAAGTCTTTCAACATCCTTCTTGAAGTACAGTGCCCAAAACTGGGTGCAGTATTCCAACTGCGGTCTGACCAATACTGCAAAGAGGGAAAGTATCACCTCCTTGGATCTATTTGTCATGCATCTGCTGATACACGATAAAGTGTAATGATTTTTGCTAATGATTTTGTCATGCTGACAACTCATGTTCATCTTGGAGTCCACTATGACTCTGAGACCCCTTTCCACTTCTGTGCTGCTGAGAGGGTCACTTCCCAGCCAGTAGGTGTGCTGGATATTTTTACACCCTAGGTACAGCACTCTGCATTTGTCTTTGTTGTACTGCATCCTATTGTGTACTGCCCACTTTTCTAACCTGTCCAGGTCTGCCTGCAATTGTTCCCTACCCTCCGGAGTATGCACTTCATCCCACAATTTAATATTGTCTGCAAACTTGGACAGAGTACACTTCACACAACCATCCAAGTCACTGTTGAAGATATTGAAGAGTACAGGTCCAAAGACTGAACCCTGAGGGACCCCACTACCCACATCCTTCCAGGTTGACACCGATCCATCTACTACCACTCTCTGGGTGCGACCGCTAAGCTAATTTGCCACCCACAGGGCCATGTAAACACCTATGTCACAGCCTCTTAATTTATTTATGAGAATGGGATGAGATACCGCATCGAAGGCCTTGCTGAAGTCCAAGAAAACGACATCCACCTCTACTCCTGCATCTAAGCATTTTGTGACCCTATCATAAAACAAAACCAGACTGGTCAGGCATGATCTACCTGCTACAAATCCATCCTGGTTTCCCTACTGCATTATTTTTCCCACTGGACTCCCACAAATATGATCCCTCATAACCTTTTCAAAGACCTTTCCAAGGATGGAGGTGAGACTGACTGGCCTATAATTACTAAAATCCTCCTTCCTCCCCTTCTTGAAAATGGGGACCACATTGGCCCTTTTCCAGTCCTCCAGGACCTGACCCAAGCACCATGAGCGCTCAAACAGTTGTGCCAGTGGTTCTGCTATGACACCAGCCAATTCTTTCAGTATCCTCGGATGCAGCTTATCTGGGCCTGCTGACTTGAACACATCCAGTCCAAGTGACTCTGCACCAAGTCAGTGTCGACAGTTGATGGGCTGGTGTCCCTCTGATGCCTATCTAAGAACCCATTAGAAGACTTATCTTAACCCCTGTTCAGACATACTGAGGCAAAAAAGTCATTGAATAGCTTAGCCTTGTCCCCCCTGTCTGTCACTAATGGCTCTTCCTTGTTCAGCAGGGGTCCTATGCTGCCCTGCACCTTCCTTTTACTCCCTACATACCTAAAGACAACAAAAAGTCTTTTTTTTAATTTGTGTTGCCAGCCTCAGCTCTGTAGTTGCTTTGGCCTTTCTGACTGCCTCCCTGAAAGTGCAGGTGGAGTACGTATACTCCTCCTTGGTAGCTCCCCCCTGCTTCTACTGCCTATATGCCTTCTTTTTGCCCTTAGGCTCCCCTGGATTTCCATGTTTAGCCAAGGAAGTCTTTTGGCTCCTTTTCCCTCGTACTGGGATAGTCTCCCTCTGCACCCGAAGGATTGCTTCCTTTAGAAACAACCACCCTTCCTGGACTCCCATCTTGCCAATACTCTTATCTTGTGGTCATTGACTAGATTCCTAAGCACAGTGAAGTTAGCCTTCCTAAAGGCAAGCACTTGCACCCTACTACTTATCTTACCCACCCTACACTGTATGGTCAGTTCGATCGATTGGTGGTCACTGTCTGCAAAGTGACCATGAATCTGCAGCTCCCCTACCAGGTCCTCCCTCATAGCCAACACTAAGTCCAGTAAGGCATTCCCCCTAGTGGGACCATATACCTCCTGTGTTAGATAAAGGTCCTGCACGCAGGTTAGAAGCTATGTGAATGGTTGGATTTGGCTGACTGATCCTCCCAGCATATGTCAGGGTAGTTTAGGTCCCCCACAACAACCACATCCCTAGACTGCACAGCCTCTGAGAGCTGCCTCAAGACAACAGGAGAAAGGAATGCTGGTGAGGTGGTGGGAAGTGGGCCTACCACGCTGTGCCCTGAAGATACCTCATTAGGAATTTTTTTGAGGTGGGTGTTGCTTGTCTCTATGCTATAGCACAATAGCAGGCCACTAGACCTTTCCCCAGCGGCTACAGTCCATCAGGGTGGGTGAAACTGAAGCTCTGAACCTTTCCAGAGTCCCCCAGCACCAGCTGCCATTTGTCTCAACACTGGCTGAAATTAAGCATGGGAGTCAGGATATAACTTGATGGCTTAGTACTGAAAACAGGGAGGAGTTAATTTTGGAGTCCTCTCCAAGAGGATTCAGCACAATGGACTAGGCCACTGGGCAAGACAGGAGAGCCCATGGTCACAATGAACACAGGAAGCAATCTTGCCTTACCTTTTAAAAAAGATGAAGACTTTCACAGACAAGAAGAGTATCACACTCTCTCAAACCTCTCTTAAAGAGGGAGCACCACAACCCCTTCATGGGAGAGTAGATATGAGACAATGTCAGAAGCACTTACTTGACTTAGGAGCCCAAATCTCATGCAGGAGACACTGGCTCCTTAGTGCCTATGGTACTCCTAAAAATGGAGTCTGTCTCACCCAGATGTTCCTGAAAATGCTATCCATGGTATCTTCTGGTCCTACTAGGGCCCTGCTGCCCCTCAGGAGGGGCTCAAAGAGCTCACTCTATCCCACTGCCCATTGGGGTCAGCCACAAACAGACTTTAGGGATGGGAGCATGGATCTTGCAGGGCCCAGCTTCCTCTCAGTAGCAGCCTAGCTACTGGTCAATTCCCAGCAGCTGCAGTTTATCTCCTCTTCTTTGTAATTGCTCCAGGCAGGGGTTCCAGCCAGACACTCCCTGCTGCCCTGCATAACATCTCTTGCCTTCCCTGTCTGAGGTCATGAAGATTTCCAGGTTGGACAGACTCTTTTCCACTCTAGCTGTTAATGCCCAATGGAGCCTTTGACCCTACTCTGTCCTTTCTACATCACCTATACTGATATTACAGATGGACCCAGGCATGGCCAGATATGAATGGCATCCTTCCAGCTGCACCCATCTAAACAAAAACACCTGAACAGCAGCCTGCCAGGCAGGAAGTGAGGGAATATGGATGGTGTGTACACACTGGGAAGGCAGCAACAGAATGCTCTGCACCTTGGCTGGTCTGAAACAGTGTCTTCCATTCAGGACAGTACTAATCTATATGGTTAGGTCCCAGTGAAGTCAGTAAGAGTTAAGCACTTGCTTAAGAGTTTTCTGGAATTGAGACTTAGAAAAAATGGACAGCAAAAATTTCTCCATGGAAAAATGATGAGTCATTGATAGACAGCGCAATGCTCTGCTTGTGGAGGGCAACATCCAAAGAGCTTAGATGTTGCATCAGGAGAGGAACAAAAGAAATATACTTATAAAGGTCATGATAGTGTCATGCTAAATCTCAGTGTCGTTCGTGGATATGCCTTGCTACCAGAAGCCTGTTGGAAAGGCAGGCTGAAGCTGCTGCATAAAGCCAACCCTAGGAGCTGACACTGACTATCTGGTGACAGTACAGCCATTCATCTGGGTTCATTTGTCTGACAGTCTTGAGATCAGTGTCCTGTGCCTAACAGCAGATGTTACCACACTGCTGACCCTCTCTGTGTCACTCAGAAGCAAGTAACAGCAGGAAAGGCAGATGCCCATAATCTCTTTTTCCCATTAGAGTTCTGTTCATCGCTGGCATGGTACAGATGCGTTATTCACTCTACTGATGAATGTATTTTAGGTAGAGGATGAGTTGAAACACTGCGTCTAGGGAGTCAGATCTCATAAACATTTTGTTGTGACTGTGTGCAATACATAGAAAGAGACCATTATTCTGGAGAGGGGGTAAGAAAGATGAAGTCAGCCTTCAGTATAAAGAGTTACCAAATCCTTCAGAGATTCATCTGGCTACTGATGCCAGATGCATGTTAACTCTCAAGTCCACAAGGATAATAGCTAAAGGCATAATACAACAGTTGCCTGCTATGGATAATACAACAGTTATTTCAAAATATCACAAATCACTCTGGTTTCAAAGTCAGAAGGGGCCATAATGAGCCTCTGGTCTGTTCTCCTACATTGCATAGGTCAGAAAATATCACCCTGATATTCCTTCATCAAGCTCATAAACTCCATGTTGAGCTATCTGACACCAATGTAAAGGTATGCGATGGAGAATCCATCCCTTCCC